ATCTGGACGCTCGATTGGCCGTGGCCATTATCAGTCCTGTGCAACCTGACCTGACCTTGGTGCGTTACACTAAGTATAAAATGGCCTTGTAGCGTGTTTTCGAGTGCTTTCTTCTGCTTGCGATTTGTGTTGGAGTCTGTTGTTTTGAGGTGAGTATCGACGCTAGGCACTGCTTTCCCCTTGGATTAAGTGGTTCTCTTTGTTTCTTCCAAGCGCTACTATGGAGCACGTTACCATCCGGCATCCCATGGTGTTTTGATTATTGGTAATCAACTAATTCTTAGTTCATTCTAAAATCGTCAGTTTTAATTATTTGTACTAACTTTTCAGAAAATTCTACCATATATTTGCTTTATTTGTTATCAAATAAATAATTACTTTTGGCCATTTTTTATTTTGACCCCAAATCCTATTGGACGGTCGCAACACCTACGGAATGTTGCATTAAATTCTCGGACGGGTTTNAGAATATACGCACTACCGGAATGTATTTTCAAAAAACAGACATGTGTATGTGTGCAGCTGGATTCCACAGTTTACACCGATCGGTGGGCAGCACATCTCTTCGTGTTCACTGGGATATACCAGTTGATGTCATATGGAAGCATTTGCATGAAGTACGATGTCAAATGTGGTTTGATTTTTCCATCTAAACGTTTACTAATTATCTAAACATTTCTGGAAACGTTATTAGTGTGCGCACCATTGGTAGGATTTATAAATCCACTAGAATGATTTGCCGTGTGATGAACAAAACCCAAGGACTCCAAGTATCCGTAGGCAACCCACGTGTCAGAATGAATAATGGTTTCTAGAGCGATCCACTTGTATTATTGCTATTATGGTGGCAGCTGACCTATCATTCAAGCGTTCAAAATACCCCTTCTTGAGAAGCCAGTCGTGCATCCCAAGGACCCGTACCGTTGGACGCGGCTTTCCTCTGTCATATTTGCTGCNATTTGCTGCAGGTCACCACTATTTCGTCAATTTCAACATCGACACCGCCCAGTTGTGTGGTGAGGGAACACAACATCGACGAAGATGCATCCTGGCAGAAGGTATACCATTGAACGGCATTCTTATTAAACGCGTCAGCCATTACGGCAACACGTGTCACGGGTTCTTCCATCGCAAAGTAAAGAATCAATTCCGATAGTGTCCAACGGAAGATTTGAATCCTCAAAAAATGTACCACACCAAATGCGAAGACGTTTCTTGCACTTAGTGCAACGATAAACCATCCCTGCAATCAGTAAATTCCTGTACATGCATCCGATGTCCATAAGAACACGTTCGTTCAGATGGAACCAACTTTCTGTCCTGCATATGCTCCAAACAACACGAACTTTCAAAACAGCAAAGAATTCGNCCCCCAAATCACCTTTTCACCTGCATCTGTATATCATAAAACCAATGAGAAACAACAAATAAAACACTCCAGACATTTAAAAAATTCCGTCCAAGAAAGTTAAGCCTGAGTGCCGCACTGTATCAATCTGCCATGATATTAATACCTATTTATGCCATTCACTCTGACATGATTTTTTAAAATTATATTTTAATTTTTCCGTGTATTAGGGATAAACGTATACTACTCATGAATAATAGGTCTTATTTACGGAAATTTGTGTCGATGGGGTGCCGGATGGTGAAGTGTGCCCTTTACTCTAAGGGGAAATTTAATCGAAAGGTGAAAATGACAGGATCTCGCACAACTGCCATTGGTCATTTTCGACAGACATTTTGACACCAATAAGGATTGATCCCAAAATTTCCTCCATTACTTTTCTAGTTGGTGAGGTTGGAAGCTAGATAAACCCAGTATTATGGCAAAATTTATTTCTGTTGTCCCAGCACCGGGGGCTCCAAAGAGCTCACCGGTGCAAGGACCTGGACTCTCCGGAAATCGCTTTCATGGTTCTCCGTAGAAACCGAACTAAACTAAATTGTAAAGGTGCAAAACACATGGTGATAGGTAGCTTACTGTCGTTCGGTTCAGTACCACGCCTAACCTATCGGGGCCTTATGTAGTTCACCACTCTAAGTCTTGGGGCTTAGGTTACCGGTTTCCATCACAACGGCAGGTCTTCGTGACTATGGAGTCTACCCCGTCTTCTGTTCATCACACGAAAGTGTGTAAAAAAAGCTTCACTAGCACTAAAATTATCCAGAGACGCATGGAACTTACCCAGATCTTCTTGCCCACCTGGATGACAGTCTACCCCTGACGAAAAATCACTATTGGACGCAGACTACTTGTAAGTGACATACATTCACCGATATGTAAATAGTTGAGAATTTGGTTAAATATCCTCAGTATGGTAGGGTAGGTGTCTATGATTGTGACTGGTCACCATTCGCTTATACCTCGCAAAATGCTCCTGTATGACCAAGCGACTCAAATAGCCTCTGCTGAGGAAGCCCTACTCACTGTCTTTCCGTGGCGGAGGTTTTCCCACTAAAGTGAGAGGACAAAAAGCCGACATCCAGGGCTACAACCGGGTTGGTGAACCATTGGCAGTTCACCTAAAGGAGTTAGCTAACATCTCTGATTCCAAAGCAATTAGGCAGAGGCGTACGAAAGTTTTAGCGTATCCCGTTTTATTGTTGTTATTGCTGTTGCGTTGGCACCATGCTTGTCTTCAAGCCGGTGGTAAATATATATATATAATTTGAGAATGGTTCCACATTACAAACATTGTGTAGTGAGTAGGTGGGAGGAATCTCAGACGACTGCGCCAGCTTTGATAGGCCTGGACTAGTGCCTGACAGCTGATGCATTGATACTTGTATGCGCGTTCCTTTTGTCGTCTCACTGACTTTAATAGTGGGGCGTTTATCATTCCATCTGACATTTACAGACTTTTAACATTGCGGCAGTAATTATAAGTTGGATTAATTGTTTGGGTGAATAGGGGAGCACACATGAATAGAGACGAGGGAGATGATGAAAATCACAAATAATCCTTGGACTCGCAATTACTTGTGAGTAGTGGTGTGGGATAATTGTTTTTTATTGATTTGAGCTGTCTATCCTTCGAAATTCACCGTCACGCACAATCCTCAGTTCATCGATTCAACCATACACTCGGAAGCACTCGAATTTCGCTCTTATTGGAGCTCATCAGTAGTGCATATCCACCGTCCCGTCCGGGATTGGAACTCCGGACCTATCACATGAATGGCGTGTGCATTACCACTGCCAACCAGCTCATACTATGACTGAACCAAATTGCCAATTCATGTGTATGGTTAAATCGATGAACTGAGGGTTGTGCGTGAAGCTGAAGTCCGAAGGATAGTCAGCTCAAATCAATAAAAAAACAAATAAGCCTGTTTGAGAGTTTCATTGAAAGGAGAAACAACTGTGTAAGAAGTTGTGAAAACGGAATCTGAGGTGGTCAGATCGAGAGAAAGATTTATATGCATAGTATAAATGAACTTTGGTTCGAGCTAGGAGTAAACAGTGGTCGCTGGTGGAAACTGATACTTTAATTCTAAAGGAAAAAGCGTTCGGTGGTTGATTACTTTGTCTAATATAGAATTACTGGTTGTGGTAGAGTGATCAAGATCTGCCATTCTTAATGATAAAGGAGGATAAGTACTGTTATGGTTGAAGTTACCAACCATCGTGTGTAGCGTAACATCTAAAAGCGGGCCAATAAAAGGTCTAAGTTAGTCAAAGAACGACATACGATCTGTGTAAAGTAAAATGTTGTGTATAGTGGTCATCGGCTCGATTGAGTATCGAGGCGTATTGGGCACCTTAGACATTTGATCCCGTCCGAAGGGCGTACGATCCAATGAACCGGACACCAGCCCCCAATGGATTTAAGTTTTCTCACGGCATCCCGCTGCCTTGCGAGTCAGACTTTGGTTAGCCAGTTTTGAACTCCCAAGAAAATTCACTCACCTTGGCCTGGGCAACCTGGTAGTATTCAAACAACAAGCAAATTTTGGAGCTTTTTCCTTTTTATAAGGATTATCACACTCTGACCTGAGACGTGTGTGAAATATTGAAATACAAGGAACGCCAGTCGCGTTTCAGGTTTTTGAGGTGCTAGCACTCTCCCACCACCTGTTGCAGTTGAATTGTTGGATCCTGGGCAATCACGACAGGAGGCATGTCCCGAGGTCGGCGTAACACAGGGCCTGGAGACCACCAGTGAATACCAGGCAGCTAAACTGGTTCCTGCTCAACTAGCCAAGTTGGAACCGGGAACAGGTGCGATTGACGATATCCGCGTATTGGACAAAGTCATCAGTCTCCTGTTCGACAACCTGTAAGCATTGAAAACGGGAGTGGAAAAGAAAAAGAGAATCACCAAAAATCTTGGTGAGGGTATCGACAGTGATGTTTAACGGGATTCATCCCGAAGGATAAAGTCACAGTAGCGAGTGTGGTCTGCAGAACCAAGTCTCTGGAGGAGCAGGTGGACCCTTGTGTCACCCCACAGTCGGTCTGTTCGACCATGAAAACGTCCTGGTAGCGCCTGAGTCAGGACTCGACGATTGCGCCAGCGTCAGGATCGTACACGATATCTCCCATCTTCCGGGGGTAGTGTTCCAATGATGGGGGATATTTGAGATAGCAAGCTGGCCGCTCGGACATAGCCGCGATTGTTTTTGCCTGCATTTAATATCGAAGTGGAGGCTAGGCATTTTGTGTGGCATTCACGGAATACACCATTGCCAAATAGCGTTCATGGGGCTAATTATTGCCAAGCAGAGCCCTAAATTAACGAAGTTATTTTTAAGAACGCTTGGAAAAATCACCAAAGAACAGTAAAGTATAATAGGAAAAATGCCCTGGTGTACAAAAAGAAAAGCAACTGTACGCTGCACTCTGGTGGTCATCAAGAGGTTCAAGTATTAGCGGCGTACTTTAGACCCTAAGATCCCAGGTTCTAGCCTTGCCACCACCACATCTCTTGTGGTAGTTAGCTTTGCCGTCGTCTTTTTTCAGTGACACAATGATCCTAATGGTGCCTTGTATCGTTCGCCACTCCAGGTCCCCGAGGCGCAGGTTGCCGTGATCAAATAACAGCTTATTTTGAGTTTTTACCCCTCCTGCTGTTCATCATGGGCTGATAATAATAATGAGTATGTGATGAAAAAAATGATTTTACAGCATCATGACGAGACTGCACTTTGACGTAGTGTGACCCAACGAGCTACACAGGATGGCTTTTGTCAAGCCGAAGATCCAACCATACCTGGAAGGTAGAAGGCAGAAGTCGGACGAAGTCCAGTCTCCTGGTCCCCCAGGTTGGGGGTTCGACTAGAATTTGCGTTTCGGTCGGTGGAAAATAGTGAAGNATAGTGAAGGAGTAATTGATCTAAGCAAATGGGCCTCCACTTCGCTTCACCCACTACCTTGCGGCTAGGTTCTTCTCAGAACCAAAGGCTTTGGACGAGAACCCTAATCGTTCTCCTGCTTAGTGGCTGGACATCCTAGCAGTACCCGTCCATCAAACCCCAATGCATATTCATTGCGAGTTTGGCAGTGATCAGTGAAGTTCGCTTCTCTGTATTTCGCTGTACGATGGTGATAATAATAATTGGACGGAATTTTCCTTTGGGAGTTTTTTAATCACTGCGAGAGACTTGTATGTTTCAAACGTTCCATCGAACAAGGTCTTCTCTGGACTGGGCGACCGAGTAGTACAACAGCTCACAATGCAAACAATCAACTTCAACCTAATCAATAACTCGCTACCTCAGTTCTCGCGCATGAAAAAACGCTTTACACCGTGCACGTCTTCCTTTTTTCCAGCTTTTCCTCCACCTCACATTAGCCCCCCTCAAACATTCCCATTGTTATCAAGATCTTCAGACAATCGTACTACCAGTTGTGCCTCTCTCTCGCGTCCTGCCTCGAATAGCGTCCAAGTCTCACCGAATCTACCTCCACCAGTTGAAGCTCTCCTTCGTCCTCGATGCCGATTCAAACTAGCCACATTTAACGTGCGTACCTTGATGCGTATAGGATAACAGGCGTGTTTAGCTCGTACCCTCAAAACCCTAGCCATCGATGTGCGTTGTATCTAAGAGACTCGCATTCAAGACTCTAGCTCCGCCATCTGATTGACGTCCCCGTCAAACCCATCCACGAAGTTTCACCTCCGTCTTTCTGGGGACCCTAAGGCTGCGGCTTCTGGTCTTGCTGGCGTT